ATTAGGGGTTTTCGGCCAATGATCTACGCAGGAAGTTCTTCGACCGGTAGCACATGCCAGTGGCAGGCACCACGGCGAGGTGATGCTAAGATGTCGCCGCTGGTGGACTTTTGACGACCGCAATAAGCGGTCATGTTGGGAGTGGCAGCCGTACACCGGCGCCCTGACAGACTTGCCGCGGCAAATCCGCGAACAATTTCAGTCCCACAGACAGCGCGTGGATGTCGCGCTGAAACGCGCAGCAAAGAGAGTTCGAAGGTGAAAACTGGAGCGCCCGAAATAGTAATTTCGCGCGCTCGCATTCCTGCTGCCTGCACCTAGCAACAATGACATAATATTCCAGTAAATTAACACGTAGCGCCCCTAAGAGATGGCCACTTTAACCCACGCCTGCTAGGTCCGGGCAGCAATCGCCACATTAACATTACTACTGTTACTGGCCGCCTCCTCGGGGAATTTATATTCCATTTTAAGTAAAGTGTAGGCCCTAGGGGGGGGAGGCGGCTAGTAGTAGTAGGACGTCGTTTATTCGATGCTATTATTATTGCGCGTAGCTTCCAGGCGTGTGTTCGGGATCGTGTGGCCAGCACACGACTTTCAGCACTTTTCCCAAACATTTAGATGTTGAGAAGTGAAAATTGGGAGAGCGGCCAACTACTTTTTTCTTGCAGTTTTGGCTTCAGTGACAAATCGTTTAGCCGTGTCTCGCCGCAGTGTGTCTGCAGGGGCCAGGGGAAACAAGTGCACTTGTGCAGATTGTTTGGGGCCATCTGAAACTCATGTCTTGGACGCAAAGCCTTCGGAGCTTGCTGTGCCTGAAGTCGCCATGGAGGTAACTATCTCCCCCACCCCACCCCGCTCCCACCCCGCACCCCCGACAAAACAATGAATATTCAAAACCCTCAAAACGCAAAATGTGGTGGTGGCGGTAGCGGTGGCGGTAGCGGTGGCGGTGGCGGTGGCGGTGTGGTGGTGGTGCGGCGGTAGTGGCGGCGGCAGTGGCGGTTGCGGTGGTCGTGGTGGTAGCAGCACTAGTAGTACTGCTGCCCTACTGCAGCCTCTGCTACTACTAACTACTACTATACTTCTTCTGCTGCGGCGATGGGTCCAACTAGAACTAGCACAGTCGAAGAGCAACTTGCCTTTTGATATTCTTCTTCTCTGGTTTGTCGGATCATGCTGGTCTGCCTTACAGGTGAGGCAGCCAGATCCTGTGCATCTTGCGTACCATGACTGTTCCGGTTACCGTTACTCTAGTTCTTAGGACAGCTCTGGTGAATCTTCTTTCTGTTTGATATCTTGCAAAAATATTCTACAGTGATAGGTTGTGGGTTCAAAAGAACTGTTGCTCAAGTGGCCCCCAGGCGTTCATTTGAGTTCTATTCCGTGCGAGAAGCCTGAGGGGTTTGCAGGTTAGCACGTGGATTCTGAAAAGGCTTCGCAGCAAAGGATGTGGCTCTTGTTGAGGGTCATCGTTCCAAGGTGCGGATTTCGGTAGCAATGTCTAGCCGCAAGATTTCGGTGAACGGGGTAGTGGCTGCCTGAAGTACCTAGCATAATCGAACAGCTTCCAAACAGAAACATGAGCATTAGCCCGCTGTGTCGGCCAATCAACCTTGGGCTTGATATGGCCACACAAATTGCTGCATCCTGTCCAATGGTTGCCAAAGACAACAAGTACAAGGGCAATGTTGACCTGCCAATGTCGAGGGCATTCATCAATCTAGAAAGGAATCTGCCGTCAGAAATACACCCTAAACAGCGTGACAGGCGAACAGCCGAATTCGCGGAGCCATCTTCCAATGCAGTTCATGCAACCCTAAAACCTGAACCAAACCCTAAACTCCAAACCCTAAACCCAGAACCGTGAACCCTAAACTCTGAACCCTAAACCCTAAAGGTTGGAGGTGCCATGTCCCTGACCCATCCTGGCAGTTGTTGCCTAAGGGGACGCACAGTTTCAACAGACCGCTTATGCTAAACAATACTAACAAACAAAATAGAAATAGTTTCAGCCTTCTTACTACTGCTACTAGTAATAATAATAATAGTGGTGATAACCGTATGAAAATAGTACTAACAGAATAATGACGGTAGTACTCAGAATACTGGCGTTGCCTGGCTTGAGAGCTTGCAATCCGCAATGCTGAATTCCTTACTGGCTTCTCACACATGTAGAAAGAGGCACAACGCCCCCAAATGGATGGCAAGCCGTACGTCACAGACCAGGTGAATATCAGCTCCCCTTTGACAGCGGAGGGCCTGTTAAAGACATGATTTGTTGCAGAAGCCCATCTGTAACGAATCTCCTAGAGATTAGTAGAGAACGGCGGTGTCTAGCAGTGATTGATGCAAGTCATGCTAGTGATGCTACATGTTATTGATCAACAAGCTCGTAACCCGGTGAGGTTGAACTTCAACTTGAACTTAGTTTCTTCTGTGTCTGGACGTACATTGCAAATTTTGTCTGCTGGAACAAAGAAACACGCCCTGACACAGCAATCTCCAGCTCAAATTTGCAGGACCGCTCTCACAGGGACGCAGTCTTCAAACCGTCCTGTTCAATCTACGTACTTTCCTCCGATCAGGGGTAAATCCTATGAAGCCCAATGTATTCTTAAGAGCCCTCCTACGCTTTGTACTTCAAAAAGACTCTAAGCCCTGCAGGACCTCTCGTTGAAAGAGTTCAGACGATGGAGAAGATGGCAACTGCGCAAGGCTTTGCATCTCTCTCGACTTCGCCGAGAGGAGCTGCATGAAATGGCAGTGTCTCAAAATTGGGGTCCCCAGGCACTGGATTTAGGGCTTAGCTGCTCACTTGCAATTCTCCAGGGCTCATGGGTTCGGGCATTGGGCTGAGGTGTCTAGGCGCAGGTCTTCTGGTGAAGCTCCAATGACACTGCATTTTTTCTCCTATGTGTTTAGCGCTACCTTAAGCTTATTCAAGCTCCAGTCCTGATGCAAAAGCCAGCCAGAAGGGACCCTGATTTTGGGAACAGGCCGCTATGGCTGCTGGAAATCTTGGCCTCTCTATCCCACTTGAACTTGAAGCAGGTTCAGCTTGGCAAAACATTTGAAAAACACCTTAAATTAAAGTATGACCAAGCAAGTCAAGCAGTCTTACAACTTGCTGCGGGACTTTACAACGCCGTCTACACCCAGTGATTGTATAGCAAGCTCAACCATGTCTGTTTTCACCAGACATGTCTCAAAGGGACAGATTTCTGTGGGCTCCTGCCATGTGACGATGTGCTACAGGCCGTGATGGGGAAGGAGGTCTGCCACCTTCAGTTTTAAATGGGGGTTTCCCAAAATTAGGGGTACCTTTTTGGGGATCTCCATAATAAGGATTATAGTATTTTGGGGTCTATACTATACTGGGGTCCCGGTATTTTGGGAAACTACCAAATTGGAGTCATCAGAGTACACCCCGAAACCGTACAAGTAATTCTATAATAAGGGTGGACGTACCCAAATAATCAGCCTGTAAAGTAACTAAAGCCCCAACATTTGGGTACTAGGAGCATGCGACTGTTTCTCAAAATTATGACCCCTGTTGCGGGCCACAGTTGTTGGCATAGGATTGGCCCAGATCTAGCAGCAGCTGAGTTGCCCCTTTGGGGCTCATAGGAGCTTTAGTCTAAACTCCTTGCAGCCCCCTTAGTAAGCCCCATAGTACTCCCGTATAGGACCCCCGACCCTAAACCCTAAACCCTACGAGCCCCATAATATTCGCCTATAGGACCCCCCTTTAAGGAGTTTAGACTGTAGCTCAGTAGAACTGGAAGATTAGAACGTCCCCGAGGCCGGCGCGTCAAGCTTAACCATCTTCCTGTATAACCCAATTTAGTAATTGGAAGGTCAGGGTTACTGCGTGGGTTAATAATGGGCATAATTGGGGTTTCTATATGGGTTATAGGGGTTATTAACCTACTTACTAAGTCCCCTGACCCTTGAAATAGCTTCCATTTTGTTCTCCATTACCCCTATATAACCCTATGTAATACAGTAGCTTCCATATTCTTTTCCATTATGCCCAAAATCACGCTGAAAGGTGCCTTTTTCCCCCTGCTTCCTTGCCACCAGCTCGCGGTAGTTGCTTGTATTTTCTTTACTTTCAGATGGCCTGCTATCATGGTATTCTGCATGCCGATTTAATGATGGACTTTCGACTGTAAAGATGACGCCTCATTCCTTGTTAAGCGACTTCTGACGCGCCAAAAGCCCACTCCATAATATAGCATAGTATACTATGATATACTCTAACGTTATATATAGTATGAACTATTGCAGTATTTTGTAGTATCCTATAAGACTCCGTAGTGTACTATGATATACTAGTTTAGGGTACTTCCCCAGGGGGCGTGTCTTGTTTTGGCTCCTGGTAATGAAGAACTCCAACGAAGCGGCTGGGAGAGGTTCCTGACCCTCTACTGACTGCTGGCGCCAAAGCGTCATTGGGTGGCAGTC